AAGTTCGTTATTTTAATATACTGGACCATCTTCCCTTCATCAAAAAACTTTCTAATAGCAGCATAGACCTCTGGACCAATTGTTTTCCAAAATTTCTGATAGAACATTCCCCGGATACCCTTTTGGACCAGGTGCATTGAGGGCCATTTGCATCATTGTGGCTCTTTTCATCTCATCTAACAATGGGCTCAGCAAAACATCCTTCATTTTCGTGGAAATCAAATTAGGCATGACTTCCAAAATCCTTCTAAATTCCCTTTGTCCTGAGGATTTGAACAGATTTTGAAAATACTCCTTTATATGATGATTCAACTCCTCTTCTCTTTCTGTCCACTCCTCTCCTGCCGATTTCAATTTCACAATCTGATTTCGTTGACGTCTTTGGATCGTTGTTAAATGGAAGAACCTCGTATTTGATCCCCTGTCTTTAACAAATTAATTCTTCTCTTTTCCATATTGTCTCCAATTGGATTTTGGTTTCCTTTTCCTTCAAAAGGTTCTAGCTATTAGGTCCCCTTTTTTTGAATTTCCTCTAGGGCTAACTTCAGATTTGTCAAAATTTTCCTATTGTTACCAAATTCTTATTTGCTCGACTTTTTCAATCTCAGCTTGCAATCTTCTAATTTCGCATGGACAAATTCCGTACTCTTACCCCACTTTCCCAACTTTGTTTCACTATCTCTCTGCACATTGCTCCGATTCCATCCACGTAGCTTCAAACTTAAAGACATGGTATTTTTTTTGCAATTTATTCACGATCAATCATTTCCAGTATATTCGCATCTCCTTTCCTGTTATTAGACCAAATGAAAGTTTGCCCCTTAAAGTCTAGTTCCATCATGCCACAATCTGAAATCATGCTTTGTCCTGCACTGAACCAGTGATATTGAAGTCAAGCTTTGTCTTCAATCGATCTCATATTTCCCACTCTGCCACTCTTTTATCCCGCATTGAACCAATGATATTGAAGTCTCTAACTATTAGCCTTGGATGGTCATTAGCCGCAGCCAGATGTCTAAGAACTCTTCACACCCTTTTGTCTCTGATGAAATTCAGATTCAGTATAAATAGAAGTTGCTTGCCATTGAAGAGGAGGATATCTAGCTATGCACGTAGCATTGACTAGATTCTTGTTGCAAATATCAATTTCCAACTGTACATCATCCTTCCACCTTAGAGCCAATCTCCCCATAGGATCCACATAAAATTTGTTTTTATATTGCAGTGATATTTGAATTCTTTCCAGTTTCTTGGACTTATTTTTCCTCTCCATAAGGAAGACTATATTTGGACGATAGGATTGAACTAACCCTTGCAATGAACTGTAGGGGTTGCTCGACTCCCTGATAGTTCCATGAAAGTATCAACATAGAGCTTGTGGCTGTTCAAGGCCAGCCACCACCACCTGTGAATCTAGGATCTCTTCCAATGATGGAAAAGTATTTTGGACTTGAGACATCCATTGAGATAGGCAAAGATCCATATTACTTTCTTCTCTTCTCTCCCCCTTCTCATCGCTCAAATGATTAAGCATTGGGGTGTCATACACCATGGCCTCGATGAGGGACTTAGCCTCCAGTATTGAAGCCTCTCGCATCCCTCCTTTAGGTTCCCTGTTGCGTCCTCTACCTTGAGCAGATTTTCTGGTAGGTTTTCTACCTCGACAATCCCCTGAAACGTATGTACTGTGTAGAGATCTATCAACTTGAACGCATTCATCAATAATTAGTAATTGGCAATGTTCTAAAGGTGAGGTCCTAGATTTTTTGCAACATTTCACTTCCTCTATTTCCGCTTTCCTTTTTAGCGTCAACTGCTAAGAACCTCAGGTCAATTCACCCTCATCTTCCTTATTCTGGTTCATATTCATAAAAGGCTCAACTTGGATCACAAGTGAATGAGCTTCAAGAGGATTCTGGCCCAAAACAATAAGGCTATCCTGATCTCTATACTCATAATGGGCCTTACCATCCACTGGGCTTTCGAGGGGTTCCGTTACAAAATAACCTAAACTATTTGGGTTTATATCATCCCATGGATTAGGTACCGCAATATTCAAACGGGGATCAAAAGGAAGTCTAATAAATGCCCCCACCTTTGGATCCTCTAAAATCGAAAAGGTTCCTACAAAGCTAGGTGGGTCCCCATTGTTCCCTGGCTCCACCAAATTAGTGGAGTTGAGATTCTTCCGTTGTGAATTTTTAGAGATGCCTTGAGAATTTGTAGGAACACCACGTGAAGGAAGAGGATTGGCTATTGGCGATTCAGAACCTTGAGGTGGGTTACAGGTCGTACGAAGTAGTGGTTTGTTGCTACTAACTTGGCAGATAGCGCGCGTCTGATCTTTAATCCCCTGCATTGTACGCACCACTGTCTCCACTTCATCTCCGGCATCCAGAAGAACTTGCTTGAACTTTTTTGATCTCCTTCCGCCTTGTTTACCACTTGAGCCCCAACTTTCTCTGAAGATAGATGAACCTTGAGGGGATTGTGCTCATAATTCTGGACCAAACTCCAAAGTCTCCCCATCCATTTGATGTGGACGGAGGTTTCTGCAATAGCCAATACAACTACATTGGTAGCAAAAGTCCGATAGCCTTTCATATCGAAATTGGATCCAAGTACCATCGAAATTTTCCCTAGTCCAAAGGAAATCTCTCTTTAGCGGTTCAGTGATATCAATCTCGCATTTTATCCTTAAATAGTTACGTTATAGCATCAATTCCTCCTTGAAATTATCCAGTTGTGTGGGCGTTCTCAAAAAGTTCCCAATTCTTCCAAGAATTATTCTTTAACATCATATCAATTGGGAGTCCCCAAATCTGAACCCAAAATTCTGTTGAATTGAACATATAGTCTCTGATTGTAGCATGGGGGGCACTCTTCTTCAGTACAAATAAATTCCCCATAACTGACCAGGGACCTTCCGAGTATATTTTCTCTCTATCAGCTTCAGATATGAATTTTGAACAAGTAAATGTTCCTCTCCCTGGGTAACTGAGAAACCATTGACAGTCTTCCATGCACCCAGAATAACATTACACACCCCATTTTTGTTTAAGTTGGAGTCAGAAATAATTTACCTACTAGACAGAGATGTAGTATCTCGTTGACTGCCTGAGGATTTGAGAAAAGATACAGTCGAAGTAGTTCTGTCTTCTTGCAATTTGCTTCCTGTTCATTCACCTGTGGCAGAGTTTCGTGTTCCATTCTAGGTATTTTTGGGAAATAAGATTCAAGAAATGTGATGAGTGGAGGTTTAGAAGAGGAAAAACTTAATAATGGGATGGGTCAAGGTTTTGAAGATGAAATACTAAATAAGAAAAGGGATGAAAAGAAGGTTGAAATGGTCAGTAAGCAAGGTTTACGGAAAACAATTTTCTGGGGAGCAAAGGTATGAAAAGAAGAGGGATATGGAAGAAATCAGGATATATTACCAGTGGAGTTTGTTGGGGGCCCGAATGGCGAGCGCTTACAGAGTAGGAACAGACGAAGATTCAGGAAAGAGGGTTTGAGGACAATAGTTAGAAGAAACACCATAAAAGCGATGGTGAAAAAGGAAAATGTCATTAAAAGGTAGATACTAAGATGGAGTAGAGGACTGAAGGTGTGCTGAGATTTTCTTAGCAAAATTACGCTTAAAGAGCAGATAGGATCTCACCATGGTGAAAGAGAGCTCTCACAGAGGAGAGAATATTCTTGTACACACTTTGTGTTAGTATGAGTAGTTGTATTAAGTGTTTTGTAGAACTTAGGTTTCAGCTTAAAGAGCTATGTGTCCATCATGTAATATATCAAGTACATTCCTTAATCTCTCAATCTCTGATCTTTACTACCCATGGGACTAGTTTTGTGTGGATTAAATAATTTCTTTGTTTTATATTTGTTTAACTTTGGTTTTTCTTTCTGTGAGTATTTTGTTAATGTTTTTGCTGGATAATTTCTGATAGTGATACGTTTCCATCGCTGTTTATTGTTGAAATTTCCAAGTGGTTGGGTTTTTTTTCCATATTAATAAAAAGATAGCTCTATTTGGTTGTTTGCATACATTTAGTTCCTTCCCGAGTTCCATCTTTCCTTTCCTCAGCATACATGATGAGATTAAGGAAAAAATGCCTCTATATCATGAAACTTCGCTATTGTCATCCTTATAAACAGGTTCTAGGGGTCAAAAGAAGGCAAGTTTCGATAGGTTCTGGTTCTAAATCAAAGGACAAGGTTGTGATTGTTGAGGAGGTGACTTTACAGAGTGTTTTTGATGCTTTGGACAAAGCTTTCAAGAGTCACTCATTGAGAGAATGGTAGCTGTGACCTCTATCTATGAATGCGGCACAAGACTCATGTTTTGACAAATTTACTCCCAAACATGATACTGCTGGTTCTAATGATTGCACCTACTTGTTCAACTGCATTGTTCCCTGATGATGCTTGGAATACAAATTGTTGTTGCACATCCGCTGGAAGAGTTACAGCTTTGTTGACCATGATTGAGAGTATAACAGTAGAAGTGCTCAACGATTTTAAGTATCTTACACAAATCTAAACTCTAGGATTTTTGTAGCCTTCAGTGTCACGCTTTTATTTCTTAATTTGTTTTACAGGCGAACTTCAAATTTTATTGAACTCTCACTTTTTATGTTTAGTGTTTATGGAAGAATTTGTAATTTTGCACATCCAATATAATGCTATTCTGACCCCGCAATAGGCGGGAGACATGCTTTTGAACATGATATGGTCTTATGTATTAAGAGCTACTCAAAGGGAAGTTTTGTTTAACCTTTTTATCCGGTATATTCTAGCGTCAGCCTCTTCATAAAACATAATGGTTACTACTCACACCAACTTCAGAAACAATAGAATAATGTTATCATGTTCTAATAATCAGACTTAAATACCCTAAATGATGACTTGTCAATTGACATGGTCGAAGACTGAATAAATAGATTTATTGGCTTCCAATACAAAAAACAATAGATCATTAGTGGTACGATTGTGACACGCAATAATCCTAGGAATGTGTGGGTCTGTGTTCGAGGCATGACAACAAATCAAAAATTTGTTACAAGTAGATCTCAATAACTCTCTTCTTGTAGCTTTGCTACGCTGTTTTGTGATCTTTTTTATTTTGGGTAAATCGCTATTTTGTGATCTTAACCCATTTCAATGCTTTTATTTTTACTTTATGTACGTTTCTTACGTAATGCAACCTAACCCTCCCAAGTAACCCTGCTGTATGGGGTTATCTTTCTACGTAACAGTAAACTGAAGACGCTTTGGGTTGATTCTAGGGTGTTTGTTACCAAAAAAAAAAAAAGAAAAGAAAAAGTAAAAATTAGAATCAAGTACACTTTCTCAATCTTTTTTGACAAGAAGGAACAAGCATAAATCTTTTAAGGACAAATGCTTCAAACAATTAAGTTAATTAAGTCCAAATTAATTTTTAATTTTTTAATAACACAACTACCCTTTTAAATCAAATTAGGTCTCCAGGCTGACGGCTTCGAATGGTCTGTTCATCTGACGAAGATGGCGAACCACAAATCACCACCGACCACCACCAAATTCAATGCTACGACGCCGACAACATATAGATATGGCACTACAAGAACTTACCCTGAAACAGTGACTTTAAACTCCTCAACAAATGTAGTGCTTTCTAATGAGTCCGAATTTGACTGGGTCAAGCCCAATAAAAATAAGTCGAGAAAATTCAGAGAAAAGTTCAAGAACAAATGGATCGACGAAGGAGTTAAGTGGGAGTCCAAAATAGAGACCACGCCCATGTGGCCTCAAGTGGACGCCGTCCATTCCTTGCCCATCCTCCCCTTCTCACTTCACTCTAACGCAAGTTCAAGATCACTCCGGGTCCAAGCTCAAAGTCAAGTACGAGCTCAGTCAAGTTCAAGACCCTCCTCCGAAGAAATAGGAGCACGAGGGAGAAAACGCCAGGATAGGCACGAAGATCTCCTACCATAGCTGTACTTGCTAAAACAGTAGAAGTCTTCCTCCTCACGTCACCGCCTTATCATGCCTATATAATGTAAGCCCCCTCTTTATATAGAGGGCAGCCTCTCATAACCTTGAGATCTCTACACACACTACACCTTCCTACACACATTATTCTCTCTCTCTCTCTCCTTCTCTCTATCCAAAGCACTATAATATATTGGAGTTACTCTTCTGGTAACACTGTTTATTAATAAAACACCCCAGGCCACGTCGCCGTTCCCAAGAGTGGAGTAGATCACCCGAACGAAACACTATAAACCTCTGTGTTTTCTACTTATTTACTGCTTTAATCATTAATTGCCATTGATTGCCTGTTGTTGCTTACTAATTGCATCCGTTCGTATACTTGACTGTTGATCTTGCGCGAAGACAATTTTGTGCATCATCAGTTTGATACCGTCTGTGAAAAACGACTAATTTCTTACTCTCAATCCATGACAATCACTACCCAATCTATGAGCCAGCAACCGAGAGACAACAACCCAGCTCACCGGGAGGAGGCTCTGCCTCCCACTGCACCTATGGAACCTTCCGCTACTACCACTCCCGCCACTGGACAGTAGCAACAACTCCTCCAGACCATGAAGCTGCTGGTGAGCCAAAACCAGCAAATCATTCAACTCATGCTCTCCCTAGGAGGCATCGCCCCTCCCCTCATGGGAGGAGTCCCACTCCTTCCATTGGGAGAAGAACAATTGCCTATCCCTCCTAGGTGCCAGACAGCCCCCCACCACGGGGCCCCTCGCCAGACCACTTCAGGACTACGCCAGGGCGCTCCTCATCTAGCCCCACCTCAGTGCGCAGGGAATTCTCGAGTGCCCACTCCTCATGAACCTAAGCAGGAGGACGAAGACCGAGAAAGTCAATACGGAGACCACGAAAGTCGATACTACCATCAGACTGAGGGTGTCCCCAACCAGTGGGACGAGAAGATTAGAGAGGTGCAAAACTAGCCTGGTGATGCCCTTAATGCCATCAAAGCACAGACGCTTGTGACCGTGGACTATTTGGTAAGACGCACCGATACCCCTTTTATTGTTGATATTGTTAACTATTACCTACCCCTCGAAGTTCAAGATGCCCTCCATTGAGATATTTGATGGCACCAAAGACCCCCTAGACCACCTGGACACTTACAAATCCCTCATGCAACTCCACAACATGCCTGAGGAGATAATGTGCAGAGCTTTCCCTACCACCTTGAAGGGGTCTGCCCGCTAGTTGTTCTCCAAGCTTAGACCCTCCTCTATTCACTTCTTTCAAAGCTCAGCAGGTCCTTCGTCTCCCACTTCATTGTGGGATGCCGACATCAGAAGCCGGTAACCCATCTACCCACTATCAAGCAGGACCGGGATGAAAGTCTCAGAAATTACCTTGCCCAATTTAATGAAGAGATTCTCCAGGTTGAGGAGCTAGATGATAAGGTAGCATTGGCCACCTTCATCGCCAACCTTCACACTTCCAGCTTTATGTTCTCAGTCCTTCAGAAGTCGCCCTCCAATATACCCGAGCTGCTGTCTAGGGCACAAAAATATATGAATGCCGAGAACATCACCAAGGCCCGCCGGGGTGAGTCCTCTTAAGGAGGGGAGAAAAAGAAAGACAGTCGAGAAGAAAGAAGGGAGACTGAGAACAAGAAAAAGAAAGTCGACAGAGTCTCCGTGAAAGACTGCCTCGGACCACTGCCACTGAGAGACCGATAGCCGTTCACTCTACTCAATGCCTCAGTGGAGCACATTCTTTTTCAGAATCAGGATGACCCCACAATCCATTGGTCCGGGAAGATGAAGTCTGACCTGAAGGGTCGAAATCCCAGTAATTACTGTCGCTTCCATCACGATCATGGTCATGACACGGACGATTGCTTCCAACTAAAAAAGTAGATCAAGGAGCTTATTCAGCGCAGCCAGCTGAGATAGTATGTCGCTGGTCGAGGACCAACCCCTCTACGCGAAGATAGAGAGCGCCAGTAGCCCCTCGGTGAGATTCACACTATCGCTTAAGGGTTAGGAGGAGGAGGTGACTCCAACTCCGCCAGGAAGGCGCACGTCCGTAGAGCCAAACAGGTGGAGTCATATGACACTCGCCCATTGAAGACGCCCTGACACGAGGAGGAGGAGGTCATCTCCTTCTCAGCCAGAGACCTCGAAGGAGTCCAGACCCCACACGACGACCCTCTGGTCTTGACTCTGATGGTGGCC